CACACACAGCCCTCTAGGACACAAGTAGCCCTCTGGACTATCCTATGATCTAGGTTCAAACTTCATGTGGTGTTTTCAGTCAAAGAAATGGAGACTTATTTCCTGCAGAATGGATTACAGTTGACAAATCCACTGTTTATTGTCATCACAATTCTTTTTAGCTATGTTATTACGAGACACCTGGACACATTTCATGCTTTTGGTCTGTGGTTTGTTTCATTCTAAAGAGGACCTCAAAAAATATTTTATAATTTTTTTAAAGAAAGTATGACCATTAAAACAATTTAAAGAATATACAATGACATAATAAGTAAAGTAATTTTTCCTACCCTCAGTTTTATTTCTCAAAAATTCCCTCTAGAAAAGTTAGTTAATGAGTATTAGCTAAAATGTCTAAAATAATGCTAAAATATTCATTGATTTTTTTCCACTTAACAATTATCGATCACTGTAGAAAATGAGCAGAAATTTATATTTTATGAAATAAACTCGTACTCTCATAAGAGATTTTTACACTTGCTAATTCCTCTCTTAGATAATAAAATAAAAAGGCAGCAGTGGCAAATTCTGTTTCACACATAAACCTTCAAGTGGATGGAGTGAAATTTCCTGTTTCTCAACTCTCTGTGTGAACCATTTTACATGAGTATTTATTAGGTTATAGTCAGGAAATTTATACCTGTTCACTTAGTTCAAACCAAACAATATCAGAGAACTCTTTCTTGTCACACAATATGAGATTAAAACCACAAAAAAAGCTAAAATACGATAAATTTACAGATGGGGTTCAAAAGAGTTATCGTCCACTGAAGTCCATGATTTTTCTGTAGATGGAGTACTCAAGCCAATCCAATAAGGGGCTGAACTATGTAGGTGCAGCCACAGGAAACTCTAAAGAGAATTAGAAATGTTTTATGAAACAACTGATTAATTCTTATCCATACAAGAAAGATATCTTGAGTGTACTTTCTGTATGCTTGGCATTGCACTAGAACAGATGAGTAACATATTTCATGTTTTCCAATAGGTCACTGTGAAAGTTCAAACTACTATAATGCAATGTGATGGCCTTTAAAGTAGAATTACATACAGTAGTAATAGATACTAAGGCTGTGGAGTCTGACCGTCTAATTTGACTCCTAGCTCTACTATTTACTTCCAGGCATCTTTGTACATTTATTAAATCTTCTTATTTCTATTATTTTCAATCGTTACAACTCAGACTATAATAGTACCTATCTCAAAGAACTACTATTGTTTTGTTATTTAATAATATTATTAAACACTACCTGGCACGTAATAAATATTCATTACATAAATGTTAGTGATTGTTATTAAATACAAGCATGAACTAATATATAGAAACAAGAGAATATACAGAAAAAAATTAAAGAAAGAAAGCAATATCTGACCTGATGTGGCACATATTACTCATAGTTTCCTAATAATGTTTTTCTATAGTAATATAATCCCTGAATCAAAGTACATGACCAAACATAATAAAGGCTACATTTCCCAACCTCCCTTTTGGCTAGGTGTGGCAATGCAGTTGACCTAATTTCTGACTAATGGAAGAGAATGGAAGTGATACTGAAATTCTAACCAAGCATTTAAAGGGTAAGTGTATACGCTTTTGATTATCTATTTCTTTCCATGATGACACATGGGTATTCTAGATAGACTAATAATTATTTTATCTTTAACTTATTTGAGAGCTGAAGAAGTAGCTGCCTAAAAATTATTTTGTTTCTTGGAATAATAATTCTCCTCTAGTATATATTTTATCTGATTTTTATTTGTCTTTTCTTGGAGAGGTTTGGAATAGAGATATTTATGTGTAAGTCATATGCTGATTCAATTAGATTCTTATCTATCCTTGAAAGGGAACAATTATGTTTAACCCATTCATTTGCTTAGGAATGTTGTGAAGAAGTGTAACCTAAACTTCAGTCTACTGTTCTCTAAAATTTGGTTTACTGATTGCCCAGGAGGCACATCTTATCAGCATGCTTCTCTTTGATGGTGAGTAGGAAATAGATGAGGTTCTTAGTGAAGTCTTTCATTGCACAGTTTCTCCATGCAATAATTTATTGTTAATTAGTTTCAGAGCCTGCTTCCCCTTTCTGGCCTTAAGATTGACTCTAAGAGAAGAAAAACAATTGTCTCTCTTCAGTTTTTAATCTATCCTGGATTTGGTTCATATTTGAACCAATTTGAATTGCATCTAACAAAGAGTCCCATAATTTGGTATTGGGGTTATATTGGTTACACTGAAGACAGTTTACTACTCTTTTGTTTTTCTTGTTGTGGATTCTATGAAATTCAGAAGGTATTTTTTTCCCCTCTCAGAAGTTTCAACAGCTGGACTGTTATATAACCCCATCTCCCCACAAAATGGCTGTTGTTCAACCAAGATTGCAAAGCACTACTATTCATTGGGTTTTCAGAAACTGAGCCTTTGATACAGTTTGTGATTCCAACATACCAATATTCATGCTGAGAATACTCAGTTGATGTTTGCCAATTAATGTCTGTATTAACTTTATTTAGTAGAAGATTTGGTGTCCAACCTTCATGTAGCAAAACTTCAAATTTAAGTTTGAGCCAGAGTTATCAAAATAGTAGTTCTCCAGGAAGAACAAAATCGTAATAAGGAGGAGTATGCTATATTTCCTTTCTTAATTTCAGCTGCCTTGTGAGCATTGCAATAAACTTGGGAGATTAGATAAGATATTTTGTCTTACTTTTTCAAATAGAATCTGGTAAGTAGTAGGGGGATCCCTTGTAAAGAACAATTTAGGTATATAATTCCAAATAAATTCCTTCTATCTGCTTTGCCAAAAAGGGGCCTAAAATAATCATGTAGTTCAATGATTCATTCAACCAATATTTTGTAGTTAATAGCAGTGATGTTTAAAAATTTTTTTACAGAAATTTTCACATTTGAAGCTCAAGGAATGCATTGCGATTGTGAAGGAAGCTATGAACTCTAAGTTTTATATCTCATCACATCAATGAAGTTTCAAATCACCATGAGATGTGAATTTTTCATGGCAGTCATTTTTACTTTGATTCCAAGTTTTCTTATTTTCAGCAATCCAGTAACATTTTCCCCCATGCAGCTTCCATTCGTTGGAGGGGCATGATTTATGAGTGGTAGAAGAGTTGGAAGAAACTGGTAGAAAAAAGAATAAGTAATTAAAAGAAACTTAGAACTGTATCCCTAATATTGTATGATAATACAGAATTGTAACCTATGTGTTTTCATTCATTTATTCTTTCTTTCTCCATTTAATTTGTTCTCTTAAAAATATGTCATGTTTTCTATCAGTAGACAATGCACCAGGCACCAGGGAAAGAAAAACAGTAAGCATCTAAGCCACAGAGAGATAAAATTTTACCGGAAAAATAGAAATTAGAGATTTTAATTAGTGGTTCACTAATGAATCATATTTAGAAGTTATATATCACACTGGAAAAGTTTTTCTTGAGTAAAATTTGTGTAGTAGGTGTCCCCCAAAATTCAGATAGATTGATCCTCCCATAAAGTGTCTTGACATCCAAAAATGTGCTGGTGAATTTGTAATATTTGCCAATAGATTTAAATGATGACACATAGGCATTCTAAATATGTCAATAACTTATTGTCCTCTCAAATAAATATTCTTTGAAAACACATACATACATACACAAACACAATTGCTAGACTCCATTGGGGAGTGAACAAAAACAGGCAGAATTTGGAGCTGACACTTAAAAGGTATGACAAGGTAAAAGTTTCCAATTTTTACAACTTTTAGCATAAGACAGACCAATGTGAACTTGAAATTTCTAATATGAAAAACACAGAAAAGATGGAAAAATATACAGAACCTCAAGGATTTGCAGGACAATATAAAAATATCTAACATACGAAATTAAAGTCCTAGAACCAGAGGGGAGAGAAATTAAGGCAAAAAAAAAAAAAAAGATAATAGCTGCAATTTTCTCAAATTGTTTAAATGTATACTTTCAAGAAGCTCAGCAAACTCTATGCAAAATAAATCTTTAAAAAGTCATATGAAGGAATGAAAGAGTTAAACCTAAAATCAAAAATAGAGAAAAAAAGTGTTACTTGCAGGGAAACAATTATTAAAAAACTCTTCATTCTCATCATGAACTTTGGGGTTCAGAATAAGTAGAAAATATCTTCACATTGTTGAAGAAAAATAACTGTCAAAAAAGAATTCCATATCTAGTAAAAATATTCTTCTAAACCATTTAGAGAAAACATTCTTCTAAAATCACATAGAAGGCAAATTTAAGACACTTTCAGGTAAAAGAAAACTAAAAGAATCCACTGTCAGCAGATAGTCATTATGACAAGTGTTAGAGTTTTCTATGCTGATGGGAAATGTTTCTAAATGAAAACTTGAATATTCAAGGAAGAAGACTATCAATGGCAAATACCTGGATAAACACAAAGGTATGTTAAACACAAAACTCATTATATAAACTACTTTTTCTTATTTGCCTTTTCTCACTGTTCAACTGTCATCTTCCCAGATAGGTCTTCCCTTGCTTTTTATATGTAAACTAGAACTTTATACTATGCTTCCACATACTTTTACCTTTCTCTACTTCACAATACATACTTGGTTACTCAGGAATTAAGCAATATAAAATAATGTTACCCATTGAGATGATTGATCCAGATTGATTTTTCCCAGTATAGTATTTCTCTTTTGATTCATTATCCACTTCAGTATGTCTTGCAGATTTGAACTGGATAAGTAATGAAAGAAAAAGCATATTTTCCTAATTAAATACAAAACACACAACCATTGGGTTCTAACTCTGAGAATTTCATCATGTGGAAAATCTATAAGTTAAATGATAAAAATGTAAAGGGAAACAATATTATATTTTCCAATATTTGGACTTTCCTTTGCAGTCTCATTAATCTTATTAATGTTAACTTTAGGGGAAAATATGACCTGGAATCAGAGGGATACTCATTCGATTTGTTTTTTCCTGGAGCTTCATATTTATTATAATAAACACAAAATAACCAGCTCTGGATATAAGTCTCATTTAGATGGTTTGTGTTTAGTGAGTTTCTTTAATTATACCAAGTGTCACCTGATTTCATGGAAAGGGGTTTTTATGTTTTGGTTTCAGTTCGTGATTCTGACTCTTTAGAGATTCTGCATGTAAAGGCTGTATATAAAAGGATAGGGTGAGGCCAGAGCTACAATGAAGAGGATATCTTTCTGATAGATATTCAATTGAAATTACTTTTGGTAATTTATATTCTCACAATAGTGTGTATTAGGAAATTAAATCTATTTTAGTAACTAACAAATATCTATTACTAATAAACTATTTTAGTAACAAACTAATCTGTTTGTTACTAAACCTTAACATAACCAAAAGAAATATAAGAGATTTTTAATACTAATTATTTTTGCTTCCCCCCTACCCAATTTTATAGCCTCAATTAGGCCATTTATTAGTTTATATTAAAAGAGTCAAAATATTTACTCCTTTGGAGTTTAAGTTGTTCATCTCAACTAGAGATTTGACCTTAATTTCTAGAGCTCTTTCCAGTCCTATTATTCTATCACTCTGCCTATTTACTTATAATTACTAATGTCATTTATAATTACTAATATCATTCACAAGAGTTCAGATATGCTTTGGTCTGTTCTAGGGTTTAGCTTAATTTGGAAGCCTGAATTCCTTGGAATATATACCATCTGTATATTACCTTTGTTCTATAGATATTCATGAATAACTTTTCTTCAAGCATTTATTCAATAAAATATTAAAACAACTGCCATATGAATAATTAGATTATATTCAGTTATATTCAAAGTACATGAATACACTTTTAAAATGCTTGTTTGAATTAATTTGAAACACATTTTTCAAATTTGTTTGAAAAATTGATACAAATTTTGTATCAATTATGTATGCAAAATTGATAATGCCCAAGAGTAGTTCATACGAATAAACTTATACGGAAATATACTTTCTAATTTAATTTCCTTTTATCTGAATGCGGTTTTAGAAAAAAATGTGCATAGCCCACTATCAAATTGCACTGGGAAATCCATTGTGTGATCTTGATCATAAAATATATGTAAATATAATCTTGACATCTCTTTCTTTATCAATGAAATGAATTTATAATATATATTATGTCACATGCTAAAGTTCTGTGGAAAAATCTCCAATTTTAATTATGTTTCAATTTCACACTTTATGAAGTGGCCCTATACTGTTTAGAAATCACCTGGACAGAAAAACAATTACAACAGGTCACAAGAGAATAATTACTTGGGATAAATAAATAATATTGTTCATCACTTACCAAAAATGCTGAGCACAATTACTGTTACAAGGAGGATGGTGATTGTTGCATATCCAACTTTCGGGAAAATTCCACGATGGTGAGAATCTATAAAATTGGACAGATTTCACTAGTAAGCCCAGTAGATAATTCCTTAGGTGGTGAGAGGTAGGAAAAGGCTAAATATGAGAGCAGAAACTACATGTATCCAACAAGAGATATGCAGTGAAAGAGTAATAAGATATTTGACTTCTGGTCATAAGTATTATCATGGGTAAGTCATTTAATCTGTATATATTCACCTTTTTTATTTTTAATGTTAGAATATTGGACTAGATAACATTAAAGATGTCCCAAATCTCTAAAGCAGGAAGGAAGTAAATTTCTACCCCTAAAAAGAAAAGAAATTAAACCTTAGAATGTAGGATCAAAAATATTGGTTTTGGTGCTCGAACTGAGTGAAAATAACCTCTAGAAAAATAAACCACTTTGTATGAGATTTTTTAGAGGTAGAAGAATAAGAATGCAATTTTAGCCCATATTATTTTTCAAATTAAATTCTGTCATCTCATAGAAGATGAAGGTACCCAGTCTAGAGAGAAAAGAAAGCAAATAAGCTTCTATTGGGCAGGTTAGAGAGATAACATTTAAAAATAGAAAATAACATGCTTCTGCAACTAAAGGAAAAATACATCAGATTCACTTGATAATTGCAAACTTAAAAAAATATAAAAGAAATATCTTCTTCGAAAATATAAAAAAGCCAAATAGATTCATTTTACAAGGGCAAGTGCAATGAGGAGTCTTCAAATTATTTAAACATCTTATCTAAACTTTAGAATATAAAAAACAATTCTCACCCTAGAGGAGAGAATATAATGCAACATGGAAATTTTCCTAATGCTTCAGAGAATAGAAAATACACCGGATTTGAAGGTCTATCATTTTCAAGGTGGTTTGTGACTAAGTTACAATGCTATCTTCAGCTATATGCCTAACTCTTCATATTACAAAAATATTTCATTACTCAAATAGCCATTAATTCTAAACTTTATGAAATAAAATATTAACATTCCATGTCTCCTAAATTAGCCAAACATATTTATCTTATCAACATGCAAATTCCAAAAGGCTAAATAACGATGTGAATTATTGTCAGGAATATTTGCCTTGGTGTAAACAAATTTATCATATTATGTTAAAGGGTCAGATTTGATCAAGGTGAGTAAAGCTGTAGAGCAAAAAGGGGTCATGAGTACAGATGTTACAGTATGAGTATAAATGTTTACCACAAGAAATATAAAGAAAAGAGAGACTATGGACACCAAAAGCAAAGTTCTATATATTAAAACCGAAGTTATAATTAACTTTATGAACATTTTCTGTCTTTAAAAAAAAAAAACTCTCTTATTCTTGAATTCAGTAAGTTTTACTTTGAAATCAGTCTTCTATTTGCATTAAGACAAACACTGACACAGGATAGAAATAAAGGAGTTTAAAAGTAAAATATTAATTTTAAAAGGAGTCCTAAATCCAGTTTACCAGATTGCAGAAGTGGAGATGAATGTTCTAAAGGAAAAGCCCTAACAATTTTGATATCGGTATAGACTATATCATCGGCCATGGCGTATATTAAAAAGAGAGAGTAGACCACACATGATGTTCTGCTGAAAGAAGTCCCATAATTATGCAAACAAACTTTTGTTAAGTAAATTGAAATGGATGACTTCCTTCTGCTCTCTCAAGTTTCCTGTGTTTCCTGTAAGAATAAGAGAAAAAAAGCAATGTGTTCAATCTTATCAATCAAAGTAATAGAGTTTTGAACACTTGCATGATGTGGAAGAAAACTACTAGCCATATAGTAATTTCTTGCTTGTCAGTTAGTTTTCTGCCTAAATTTGGAATTATTTTTAACTTTTAATAGTTATAGAAGATATTGCATCATTTTTTCCACAAGCCACTTTTTAAAAATATATTCTTTGGCAGAAACTGTGACTGTCCAACATTTTGTCCAAAGTAGAATAGCAATTTGGGAGGGACAAGCAAAAAAGAGATTTTATTTGGGACTGTGAGAAAGGAGAGGAGGCATCTGAAAAAATGCAAAAGAAAGGGCCTGCAGAAATAACCGACTCAGCAGGTTAAAACTGCTCTCTCCCCGCATTCTGCCCAGTGCTCTTCAGCTAACATGTTTTCCCACAGCTAACATGTTCTGCCCAGTGCTCTTCAGCTAACATGTTTTCCCACAGCTAACATGTTCACCCCCATGTCAAGGACTCTCCAGCTCACGTCTGTTGATTGATGGCTTGTCAACTTGCTGGTGTTCTTCGTTATCTCTGTAGCTGTGTAGGAATAACAAGACTGTGTAAAACTGTTTGTGTTACAATTAGAGCTTAGCCTTTGGATAGGAATTCACTGAGCCGGTGCCGGCATCAATAAGAGTTACTTTCCGCTTATAACCTTAGTGTCCCGTCTCTCCGAGAATTCTATAACAGTGTTGATAGCGCCAAGGTCGTGGGTTCTATAAGGCAAAATGACCTATAAATAGATAAGACCAGTAGTCTGGAAATTCCTTTCCCCTTGCAGGTCCCTATCCGAAGCTCCTCCTCCCCATCCTGAGTAAGGAGGCACATGTGAAACCTCAGACAAAGGAATCACGTGTTTCTTGCATGGACACTGCAAAAGTATATAAGCTGTAAGAAATCCAACGAGACCAAGCATGTGCATGGAGTTGTTAACTCCACGCTCTTTGCCAGCCTAATAAATTCTCCTTCCTCTAATAAAGTTGTCTGAGTGTCCGAATTCCTCTGTCAGGTGTCGCTTCCTGCAACAACTGTATCCCTGAGGCCTCTGTTGGAGCAGGCAGAGCATCAGAGATGGTAAAGTAGATGGGTCAGGTCTGAATATTGTTCACATTTCAAAGCTTTCCACAGGCTGACAACAGAATGTTGAGTTGTCAATCTACCTGTGCAGGTGGGGTACCAGAGCAAGAAGCATATTTGAAGCTTCTGAGTTATTTTTACTGGATCTTTTATAGGGATAGCCTTTTGGCTTTCTGAGCTCCCTCTCTGTCTCTGGTCTTTTCTGTTCCCATTCCTAGGATTTGTCAGTTTCTCCCCCAATCCTTAATGAATTGCCCAGCAGCACAACTATCTTGTCCAATGACTGGGCTCAGCAGTAATATCAGTGTCTCATACTGGAGTTGGGGCGGGTAGTGGGTGTGGGGGGAGA